TTTTCCATAGTAAAAATCGCTTAATGCACTTGAGGTAGTCTCACATGAACAGCTGCTGTAAACAAACTAATTGACATGGCCTTCTGTCAATTGTACCATATTTCAAGAAAGGGTGTACCAACATAACAAAAAATTTTTGAAAAAGGTCTATTATTTAGGGAATAGTTAACAAACAACAAAATCCGGATACTTTTTGAGGAGAAGGTATATATAATATGTAACTTTTGAATTTAACATTTTTGTATTGACATTTTTGTTTCGTATTTTCGTTATACTTTAATATTTTATTAATCGAGCAGTTAAATAATTTGATTTTAAAATAATTTTATGCATTTTTTTTTTAATATTATTATATTTTTGATGCATTTTAAGAGGTACTGATGTTGACTGCAGATAATACACCTGCACTTTAAAAAAAAATAATTATGTGATATATGAGTCAATATTTGTGTATAAATCTGATTTTGTGAAGGCAATTTTTGAGATTTGTAAATATATTATTTGAACATCTTGATTGTTATACATGTATTTTTAATATGTAAATAATATCTTTCTGTGCATTGCAGTATTTCCATGGCTTCAATTTAAATGTAAATATAAAAAATTTTATAAAAAAATATAATGAATAAACTGACATATTTTTAAAAAGCATTTCTGTCTTACATATTTTACGGGTACATATTTAAAACAAATAATATGCCAAGATTGCAAAAATTACAAGCAGTAATTAGTCATTGTTTAATTAATAACTTTTTAACATTTATTGTTTAAATTGTGATTAATCTTTACCGGCGTTGGGAATAAAAAGAAGTAGCGGCTAATAAAAGATACATAATTATTATATTAAATTCCGATTTTATTGTTATGAATGGTGAATATGTTTTTTTTATTTTGGATTTTATTTTATAAAATTTAATAATAAACAACTTTTTGCCGGTAAAAATATTATAAACAAAAAACAAAAATATGACATAAGCTAAATAGTTTTATGAATGAATTTAGCTAAGATTATATCATTTAAAAGGTGAAAAATATAAAAATATTTAAAAATAATATAAGAAAATATTAAACTACACTTATGACATCAGTAATTGTGATCGATCATAGATAATTGTAGGCAGATCAGTTACTTTTAGATTTTTGTTGCCACTAGAAATGTAAAACTTGTCATCTAAAAATAAAAGATGATAGCTTAACAGTAAGAGAATTTGTTTTGAAACTTGTATCTTATATACATATATACTGTATAATAGAATTTCATTTATCATTTGTAAAAACTATTCAATTAGTATTCATGAATTTTAAATAATAATATTTGAAGATATCTATGTTGACTTCTTAACACGGTACAACCATTTGTTAATTTTTTGCATCTTTAAGTTAAAAAAATCCCAATTCACTTTGATGGATGATACTTTTTTTATATTTAGTTTAATGGTTCATCAAATACAGTTTGTATATTCCCTTTTATAAGAGAAATTTTCCCATTTAATTAAATAATGAAGTTAAGTGATTTTCGAAAAAAAATCCCATAAAGTATCTGAAGGTAGGTGAAGTGGAAAATAAAAAAAATTTTTTTGCTTTATGTGGTTAATAAACTACTTCACCGAATCTGTACTTTTATCAGCGAATATCAAATTTTATAAATATTTTGTTTATTAGTATGTATGATTTTGTGGTTAACTCTATGAGCCCATTATTTTTTTACGGATATATTGATCATTGTTTCCGAGAATCTGTACTGATTTTATATATTTTAAATAATAATTAAAAATTTATTTTAAATTAATCTTCAAGATAATAAAAAAACAAACGATTCGATTCGTGTTTTGCGGTCTTTCTGATTAAGTATTTTTACAAATCTATATAAATGTGTATAAGTTAAAAGTAGTTTGACAATTTTATATGAGGTCTTAACCACATCATTATCATCTGCCTTTAATACTGCCACATTTTTTGGTAGGTTTCTCAGAAATATTTTTCACAGAATGTAAGATAAATCTTATTTTATTGTAATATAATACATATATTTGTTTTATCATATTTGGTTTATAGGTGATAGATTTTTTATGATAGAAAAAATAAAAAGAAAAAGTTAGAAGAATACAAGATATACAAATATATATTTATTTATCAAAAAATGAAATCAAATAATTTAAAATTATTTGTTAAAAGTGCGTTAATTAAATATTTTTATTTATCAAAAAATACAAATTAAAAAAGAAACAAACAAAAGAGATAACTAAGTTCTTTAGCCAATTCTATGTTTTTATTTATAAGTAAATAAAATATAAAAAAAAAATAAATAAAACAGTTAAAAAGATAACTTATTTCTACAACCAATTCTATATTTTTGTTGACCAATAATAGAAAATGTATTCATTTTTCTTATTACTATATTCTGTAGTCTGACAGTCTGATTTAATAGCGGTAGCCTCTTCTTTTAAGTAGAAGAATTGGTCATTCAACTGCTTTTACACATTCCATAGAATGAACTAAACCAAATATTTATATTATATATCAATAAAAAGATTTGAATTATTTTGTTTACAAATCAAAATTTTGAACGTTCCTAAAATCTGACACTGAAATAATTCACATCCCAGCATATATACAAATTTATTTAATTATTTCAATATTTATATTTATATTAAATTTGATTTTTAACGTCAGTTATGACAAAAAAGCTATTACAATATAAGCTTTTTCTTTTTTTTGAAAAGAGAAATTTTATGAACAGTAGTGAATTCCAACAACAAAATTTAATTAATCGAATTAAGAATTATAAAATTATATGGATTAGACCATATACCTATCATCCATGGTCTTTTTGAAATTATTTCTTATATTTAATTATTTGTAAATAATTTTTTTGATACTACAGGTACCAAGGGTTGAACTTGTACCCTGCCAAATTCAAAGCTCAAAGTCGGTGTTCATTAGCCAACTGATCTAAAGCAGTACTTGACTTGTATTTTCTAACTTATAGTGTTATTAATTTTCTGTGAAATTTCACTAACTTATTTAATTATTGTATTATATGAGAACGAAATCATACCTAAATCAGTTGTAAAATAATTAAATCAGTTAACTATAGTTAGTTTAAAATGTTAAATTTCAATACTATTTTTTTGTAGAAGTATTACGAATATTTAAAATAGTACATAAATATTTGTGAGGGACTTTCAGATAATATCGTATATTTGAGAAAAAAAGGTTATTTAAAATAACAAACAGTCTGTACTACCAAAGAATATAATATGTATGAATATGGTTGTCAATTACAAATAAACATCAACAAAACTAAGATGTTACCTGTAAAGAAGAATGACAAGTAGATGATTTGTCATCTCATATCAATGGAGATCGTTTGTTACATGGAAAGTATCGACACTAATGATATAGATAGTTGAAAACTCTGCGTGGTGTTCTTCAGAATTTGAAAAAATCAAAACGCTTATAAGTGCATGTAATGCCTTTATAAGTTACTTTAGAAAATCAAAGAACTGTCTTTTAAATACTATTATTATTGGGACTCTTAATTTTACAAACATTTACTGATGAAACATTTTATATACGGCTTTATAATAACTAAGATGAGTTTCAAATAAATACTGCAGTAAATACCAAAAAGCTCTGCGAAGATTAGGAGATCTAAACAAAATATTGCTAAGAAATCCTACAATAAAATGTGAAACATAACAATTAGAGTCGAGATAATTAGCTCAAGACTAGCTAAAAGATGGATCATGTTTGATGAAATCGAAGTAAAATTTAACAAATTTCTATACCTTGTTTGAAACAGGAACAATTCGAGGTTCTATATTAATACTCCTGGCGATGAGTTAGATATATTTAAATTATTCTATATACAAATATATATTTATGTATTTAAAAATAAAAATTTTATATGACAGTGAGCACGAGTTTTACTAAAAAAATATGTTTTTATAACTCATCCTTTGACTTTGCAATCGAACTTTTTTAGACAACGTCTTCCATCCATGGAGACATAAGTTTTGTGTTATTTAAGTTTATTGCTTCCGATATAAGGCAAGTGCGATAAATTGTTGGAACCCAGTTAAAAGCATAGATCACTTGCTAGAGTAAAATAGGTCAGAGATGTAACTAGTAGATTCAAAAAATAATATTAAATTTTATTAAAGCTTGAATGTTATAAAATATTAATCATTAGCACGAAAAAATAAATTGATTTGTCTTATAATATTTGGGAATTTTATTACGTTTGTGAATAGTAGTAATCTTCTTCTTTCATTTGATCTGATCTCCCTTTAAATGTTCTTTTTAAGCACCACTATCTTCCTATCTTGCGCTGCTCTTTTCTCTATATATGTATTAGAATGTATATATATAGCAATAACGCTTTAATCCCTATAAATTAAAATATATTATTGGTTTCGTATTTGTTCTAGCTCTTCAAAGCACCACTACGTCCTATGTACGTCATTTTTGCATTGGGATTATATAGTGGTATGGTATTAATAACGCTTTAAACCTTGCACATTATTGATTTTGTTATGGTTATAGTTCTTGTTCTTTAAATATACTTTTTGATATTATGAGACTAACACATTTCTGTTTCTTTCTCTTCGATTTTTTGTGAACTATCGTTGGATTGTATCTTAATTATGTAAAGTATATTTTTAAACTTTAGTCGGCGTTTTAAATAAAAAAATATATAATTTTTGATGCAGATTAAGTAAATTAGTTTTCATCATTTAATTTTCATTTATTTTATCTTGAAATATGCCATATTGTTTAAGTATGTTAAAGTGTTTTGAAGCATATAAATAAATTTAAATTATTACATTAGTTTAAATATCATAAATATTTTTACATTGTGCATATATAAGTATACAATATTTATTATACGAATAATTATATGTTTCACTATCGTAGTAAGGCAGATCTATAAATCACTTTATATATCATTAGAACATTTCGGTTAATTGAGCAATTTTTTCTGTTGATAATTACAGTACTTAAAATGAACACAACAGAACAAATAGATAATGTAGTGAATTTACTACGAAACACCTTTAATCAGAGTTTACACTATGAATTGACGACAACAACAACAGCTTCTACTTTGCCACTACATAGCTCCATTGCTCGAGATAACAGCAATGAGGGCGATAAGGCGCTACTCATTGCAAAAGTTATTACCATTGTTATAATGTTCATTGCAACAGTGATTTGCAGTGGAATACCGTTCTTATTGAATCGTTACTTCAAATGGACCGAAAATAATACTGACGCACGTTCCGCCACTGTGGTGAAGTGTCTATTATATTTTGGCGGTGGGGTACTGATCTGTACGACTTTTTTGCATGTGCTGCCAGATGTACAGGAGGATGTACATGACTTGCAACATTGTGGCTATCTGCCTGAGTTGACTTTTGGTTTACCAGAAATGCTTATGTGTGCTGGATTCTTTCTAATGTTCTTCATCGATGAATTGGTGCATACTTTTCTACACAATCATAAACCATTGTTGGAGGAGGATGACGGTGCTGGTGCCGCTTTTGAACGTGGACATAGTTTCCGTAATAGCGTGTTATTTAAACCCAAAAACCCGAAGAAATTTGAGCTGGCGGAAAATGAAACAAGCGTTGCTACTATTAGTGTCACTGAAACGGACAATGTAAAGTTGGAGAACGGCAACAGCGTTCCGGAGCGAAACAACAACAATGTGGAAAGCAATAATACTGAACATGCTGTGGAACATAACCATAAACATCAACAGAACTCGCATTCACATTCCCATATGCCAGTAGTGAATAGTGAAGGGGATGCCGTTACCTCCTCACTGCGAGGTTTGTTTATTGTAATGGCTTTGTCATTGCATGAACTCTTTGAAGGTATGGCTATTGGCCTTGCCGGTACAGCAAGTTCGGTATGGTTTATGTTTGGCGCTGTCGCAGCTCACAAATTGGTCTTGGCGTTTTGTGTGGGCGTTGAATTGATCGTAGCACGTACACGTCGTGGATTAGTAATTGTTTACTTATTTACTTTTGCGATTGTTAGTCCAATCGGTATTGGTATTGGCATAGCAATTACTAATACAGATGATATGACTTCGACAAATATGACTGCAGCTATATTAAATGGTCTTGCCTGTGGAACTCTCTTGTATGTGGTGTTCTTCGAAATTCTCTCGAAGGAACATGCTGGGTTATTGTCATATTTAATGTTACTCATTGGATTTGGTGTTATGTTTGGCTTACAACAACTAGGTATGTTAAAATAAATTTTTATTTTAATTGCATAAGTACATATTTTTTATTTCTATAATAAAGTAAATTAATAAATATTTTAATAAATAATTATAATAATAATAAAAATAAAATAAAATATATATATGGCATGACAAAATAACATAATTAAAATAAAAATTTATTAAAATAAAAATTTATTTTAATTATGTTATATCATGTATATATTTTATTTCATTTTTATAATAATTTCGTATAATAATTTTCGAATAATAACGTTTTGTATTATATTAGGTGCTGATGATCATGATCATGGTGATTCTTGCGACGGGGCTGACACTGAGACAACGCATCAGTTAATTGTTACTGAATCCACTACTGTACAGTAAGAAATAACTTTTTTTATCTACTGGATTAGAGATTTAAGAGTATATAAAGATAATACACTATTATTAGAGGTTTAATACCTCTCAGCACGCGAAAATCAGAAATTTAACAAAATTTTTCTGAAATTTGATTTGACAGAAGAGCAAACATGGATTCAAATGAATGTTTTAATATACTTTATTGTTTTACACATGTGAGAAGAATAATATGTATATAATAGTATTATCCATTATGTTGTAAGGCTTTTGACAATTCTGAAGTCAATGTTCAAAAAAAGGTTTATGTATGAGTAAGTCTAATTGTAAATATTGTACATATATAAATATATATATTGTAGTATATATTAATATACTATTTAATATTATTGTAAATTATAATTATTATATTATGAATACATATAATGAATTTTGGATCCTGGAACTCTAGGTTCTTGTAATATTTTAATTGTTAATATATGCATGTATAAACATTTGATTTTTCCCCAACAATTAATATAAACTAAATGTTTTATAATGTAAATAATATTACGATATGGCGTATTTATTCAATCAACAATAGACTATATTAAACTCCACTCAGATATATTTGTTTGGTCATCATCACTTTTTTTATTCAAAAAGTCAAGAACCCAATGTTCTACTGGTTTGACAAAAACGTACATTGGTGCCATCTGAAGTGACAACTAACTTTTAAATTTATAAGAATATGCATGCGTCTATTTTATGTATGGTATATACATTGATCATATTTTTTCTATGATTCTGTGAGTAAAATTATTTAAGGGAAGCTAAGTACAAAGCAAATTCTTTCGAGCTCACTAAAGATCTGTTTTTGGTGAGGACACAGTGGGTTAATTACGCACAAAATGGTTAACTAACCAATTAATTTTTAAAAATGTTTTAAAAATACAAAAAATTAACATTAATTAAAATTGAAAAAAAATATTTTAATTAGTTGAAAAAAAATTTCAATTAATTAAAAAAAAATTAAAATTAATTTAAAAAAAAATAGAATTAATTAAAAAGAAAAAAATTAAAATTAATTGAAAAAAAAATTAAAATTAATTGAAAAAAAAAATTAAAATTAATGGAAAAAAAAATAAAATTAATTAAAAAAAAATTTAATTTAATTAAAAACAAATTAAATTTAAGTAAAAAATAAGAATAAAAGTTAAAAATTAATTGAAAAAAATAAACTAAAAATAAAAAGGGTAGTAAATCAAATAGGTAATATTATTGTAAATATTTTTCAAATTATTACTCATTAAACTTACGATTTAAATACATATATAATTTAATAATTTATGAATGTTAGCATATATAAATATTGAAAAAACTAAATCTATTTATGTTCTAAATAAATAAGATCAAATTTCTAAAATATAATATGTTATCAATCATGCATATAATATGCTTTGTACATACTTAGTTTTAATTTAATATTTTTTACTTATTTAATAAAGAATTTTATGAAGACTGCCCCAGACAGTATTTCTAATATAAGAGTCTTATGATTGTACATAATATATAAATAATATAATATATATGTTATCAATATTTTAAAATAAATGCATTTAATAAAAAACTGAAATTTATTTATTTTGTACGTAACAAAGAAAGATTTGTGGAGTATTCGTACTGTGGCAGGATGAGTAAGTTATTTACTGGACATTTCAGAAAATAATATAAAATTGACCTACACAATAAAAAATATTGAAGTTTAATGTATGCAAATTATTTCAGTGCATTTCATTACTGATAAGACAAGAAATTTGATTATTCATATATAATTTTTAGTAAACAAAAATGTAAACAATATTCTATCGAAAAAGAGTTAGATTAGAAATAGTAGTCTTCTTATTTCATTGTTGCTATAGAACTTATCAAATCAAAAATTAGTATATTTGTTCAAATATATTTAATAATATTTGAAACCAATTTTATTTTTGAATGAATATATTTTCCATATCAATGAAACCATTATATACAAAATGTTTCTATTATTATAACCAATTTAATTTTAGATTAATGACAAGTGACCTGTTTTGTATATCGTAGATTATATATATACATCATTCATATACGTACATTGTGAAAAGTTTTATATCAAGAATGGCACAAATACATCTATTTGTCTAAATCAGTTCACTTGGTTAATGAGCTGGACCAGCGATAGCAAACCTACAGCACGCTCGTCGTATTTTGTGTACTGTAACATGAAATCTGTTTCGAATAGAAAATAATAATAGCAAAAAATAAAAATTTTACAACGAAAATTACAAAACTTGAACAATCTGATGTACCATGTAGCTTAAGATACCTCAGATCAGAATATTAACACAATAGTTTCATTACCAAACCCTATAAATTTGCCCCAAAACATAACATCGTTAGTGAAAAAAAAGATAATATTATCAATTAAAAAAAAGGGGAAGAGAGTATTAAAGTTAGTGAGCTCAATATTTTGGGATAATTTAATGAGAAATCAAGTCCATGTGTTTTAACTTTATCCGGATAGTTCTCTGTCCGGACATCCAGAGACAAATTAAACGAAACGAAATAGTTTCTAAGAAAATGAAGAACAAATTGGTATCCTTAATAAAAGTTATGATTTGTTTTTGTAATATAACCGCTAATTATTTTATTGTTTTTAATCTATTTTCTAAGCTAGAAAAATTTTGTAGGTACTGTGCCACTACCTTGACTGTGTTCCAATCGATAATAAATTTTTTCTTTTTTACTGAATTTGTTCACCTGATCTGAATGTAGAGTATACAAATGGTGAGCATTATGTAGTGATTATTATACCACAAATAATCAAATTTATCATGAATGTCACAAAAGATGAAAAGTTCTATGAATCATATTGTCAAAGATATCTTAACCTACTTATATTTACTTGATAATCCAACATAACATATTCAGTTGGCTTAAAAGAAATACTGATGGATCACATTACTGATACTGAAAGGAATATGAACGTTTATATATCATACATTTCTAAATTTAATTATTTCAATTTTAAATTGTATTATTAATTTTGTTTAATTTAATTTATTACATTAATTTTTAACAATTTTGTTTACATAAACTAACATTACACTTTTGTATGGTGTGTATTTTTAGATAGTATTTATACATTATATTGAAATGTTCTCTAACAACCAATATTTGTTCCAGAAGTAACAGCGATATACTATTTTCTCACATACTTAAGTAATAGGAACTGTTACTGTGTATAATATTCGCAAATTTATTCAAAATGTTAATAAATAGTCCCAATAGTCCGTTATATTGCATTACAATGAAAATCGCCGTTGTTGTTTATATTCAATTTTATCGTTGCATTGGTAGGAAAAGGATTGTATTATTGGGAAATCCTTTTCTAAGCCCAATAATAGAATACATGTATTATCAGATATAAATAATAAAATTGATTATATGGTATGACGTTTAAGTTTTTCAAAACATCATAAAGCGAAATAAGTCTAAACCTACTATTATATGGTTTAGGCCTACTAATGAACCCGATGATGTGATTAAAATATCTAAAACAACAAAAAATGTAATATATCAAAAACTTAAAATTAAACATCTTTTATAGACAATATAAAATAAATGGTTCTAATATATATAAGAAGAAGAACCTCTAAAAGAAAACAATACAGTACGATAGTACGAATAATTTATTATTGATATTAATGATTTAGGATTACATTTGCTTTAAATAAATAATTTACCTTAAACTTTCAATTTGCTTATATATGATTCTAACATGCTTTTTAGCAATTGCAGTTTCCACTGAATTTAAACAAATTCGAATTCTAGGAACCCAATAGATTGCTGTAAAAAAGAAATCTTTCTCTTCGATTTTTCTTTCATAAAAATTTTGTAGAAGCAAAGATTTCAATTTATTTTTTGACAAATTCTGTAATTGAAAACCAAGATTCATTACAATTATATATAAATCGCTTGAAATCGCAGTTTTCCTGACAGTAATGTTATTATCGCAGCATATAAAGCTTTTAGAGTAGTAAATAGACTTGTTAAGTTAGGTCCTTTCTATTAGAGTTCGAGTATCGCGCCTGTTCAAAGGTATATTGTTCGTGCAATAGAGGTAAAAGTCTGTATTACCTTTTAAGGTTATTCTTTAGGTCTAGTGTAGGCTTTGGTGCACACCGCTATCATTGCAATATAACTGAATAGTTCTATCATTTCATCTGTAGAACTTCATCACAGTAAACAATTAACAATTGTCGTTCCATGACCAAAATCTTTTAGTTTGCTTAAATATTAATTGGTTTTCAATTTTTCGAAAACAAAACATCATCTATTAATTTTGTTTCAAAGAAATTCAACAATAATGTGAACACATCTCAGACAGTGGACTTTGGAAGATGAGGGATTTAGTGGCATAACTTGCTCTAGATTGCATTTGTCAGTACTTTCATGTGACAGCTCCCCATTTAATTTAATAGTTAAAATTTGTTGTAATTTTATATAATATTCTTTCAAAACTTCCATAGCAATAGACTTTATGCATTCACTAGTGTGTAAGGATGTTTTTTAAGTCCAAGCTTTTTTCAGTTTAATACCTTAAAGATTTATTGCAATTATACTTAATTTGTTCCTGAAGCCACTTTAATTTTATTGAAATAGTTTATAATTTTCTGACTGAATTATATTTATTAACTTTTACGATAGCGGTTTTCATAAGTAGTAGTAGTCAGTAAATACTTTAAATGTTAAGTTCTCAAGCATACGTAAGGACTACTATTTTTAGTTAATAGTTCTACAAGAGCTACTTCAATGTCTTGTTTATGAACATTAATAAACCTTTCCTTAATTCTGAGCGTTATTTCAGATTGTTGAAAAACGATTTTAGTGCGGTTTCATTGAATATTTAATTTTAGTTCATAATAATTAATTTTCCAGAAATCAACAATAAATAATAAAATAAAAGTATATAAACAAAATATTTTTGCTTTTTTAAATTTTTTTAATTTCATCGCAAACAATTAAAACAGCTGATATAAAAAGTATGCAAATTTAATTAAAAAACGAAAACGGCGGAAGTGTTGCAAAACGTTTTAGTTTATTACACAATTAACATTAGTTCGTTGTGTAATTTGAAAAATTAATGTGTAAATAAAAAATAAATACTTAGCAAAAAAAAAATATATTTGTAAAGATATAAGATTTTCAAAACAAAGAACTTCGTGGAGTAGATAAATAAAAAAACATTCAGATTGATAACATATTATTAAATATTATTAAATTAAAATGGAAAA